CCCCAAAACCCCAAAACCCCAAAACCCCTAGACTTAATTTTTAGCTGAATTAGCTTCTATAGATATCATATTTCTTAAACAATGGTTATCCATTCTAAAGAAGGTATATCAAAGCAGTCTGTGAAAAAAATGTTAAAATGTTTGCTGCCCTTCAGATAAAGAGTATTGTCTAAGCTTTTGAAGATTTCAGTACTGTGATGTTCTCTTTCTCTACGTATTTTCATAATAATTTTAGATTTTATTCTTACTAAACTTGTGATACATTAAAGATTTTTCAGAACTATCCTGAATAGGTAAGCCTCTATCTTCAGAAGTTTACCACAATATAATTAGATGAAGATGATCTAATTCGTCAATTCTTTTAGAGGCAATGAGAATAGTAAATGTTTTCTTTCCAATTCTCTCAATAACTGTTTTAGAATTCCACAACAGAGGAAGAAATCTCTAAAAATAAGTTAAAACATATGAGTTTCGATACTCAGATACTAAATGAGAAGTATATAAAATTTAGTATGCAAATTAACTATCTTAGAACCCTTTTTGGACATATAAGTCAATACTTAAGATACTATTAATAAATGATTATATTTCGGAGCTCTCGGGGTCTTGTAGGTAAGCATCGATCATGCTGACCATCTCCTGAAGGGTGTAATCAAAGTTAATTCTGGCATTCACTCCATAAATAGCTATAGCGTACAGATCATAGATCCTTGCAGCCTCTTGTTCGGAGATATAAGTTCCTATATACTTCTTGGTCTTCCTGATGCTTATCAAAGCTTGCCAGTGGCTGTTATTCTTAGATACTCCAATGTATCGAGATCTTCTTCCAAGTGTAACATCAGTAGTCCCTCTAGTCTTTTTCGGTGAACTGTAGAAAGCGGGGATCTTATTGCAGAGGATCTCCATGCGGATTTTTGTGAGCAGAGATTTGATTGGAAGTCTTGAGGAGCGTGATCTTCTCTTCTTAATTCTTTTTGTGCTATCACCAATATTTTCAGTCTTTTCAATAACAAATCTTTCAAATTGACTTCTCATATTCTTTCTAGAAGTTTGAGATTTCTTGTCTATTTTTGTACTCTTAGATGAATCTTCAACCACTTCTTGTTGTGAATATCTAAAAGTTAAGGATAAGTTTATTCAAAAGCGAGGAAAGCAGCCCATATTTATTTGTTCCCAGTTTTCACCAAGAAATACGTACCTCACTCTATCTAGCTTTTGGACAACCGGTGATGCGCAGAATCACCAGTTTTGGCAGGTGCAGAACTTACTAATGCAAGGAACTATTTGCTCTATACTCTGACAAGCACAGTAAGTCTCTTCAAGTTGTTTGAGTATGTCTGAGTACTCCCAGTATGAACCAGAAGGTAATTCAGAGCATCCATAATTGTTGTTGTATAAATCCATAATAAAAATATTTTATAAAATATTCTAAACTTCGAGATTTATAAATCTACCATGAATCTCTGCTGAATTTCCAAAATTTGTTGATTAAAACTCCGAAACTTCCTGAGAATTATGATTTCAGCTATATAAGAGAAATAAAACTTAGTTATCTCTTAAAATTGTGCCTGAATTTTAAAAAAAATCTCAAACATACCAGTTGGCTTGAGACAACCTAAAGAAATTTTGAAAAGGAAATACTTTCAAATATGTATCTCTTTCATCCTGCTCAACAAGAAAACTGCTAAAAGTCATAGATTATTTAGCATTGGGCCTAAAATAAGAGTCTTAAGCCCAGGGAAAGGGGAAATCCATGACTCATAATAAGATTACCATACTTCTCTGGCAGTGAGGATAGGAAAGTTCAAGAAATATATTTAAACCTCTATTTCATTCGCTCAATTAGGATTATGGAAATCTGGTGAATTCTCATTTAGGCATAGGACATATGTTTCCGAATACAGTGAGCACAAAAGCATCTCATTTAGAATTGTTTGTCTTGGTTGATTACTATAATGTCATAATTAACATAAGTTATGAGTTCATAAATATGAGCGGCATTTCGATGTCCAAAGGAGAGTCTTGTGGGGCATGAAAGAGTCTCAACAGTAATAGTATCAAAAATCTCTCTAAATTCTATTAGATAGTGTTTTATAAAATCTGAGTACTTTAATTGATGCTCATGCCACCAAATTCTATAAATTATGAGTGATTCCTTAGCCATTAAATACTAAAATTAGTTCACTCAAACTTTAATATGGCTGCCTAGGAACTAATTCCTAATGTATGAGCCATTTAGAGATAGACTTTAATGCAAAGGGATGAGCTGATTACCGATATCTTGCCTTATTTCTTCAGAATTAATTGGTAATCCTAATTTAACAAAATTAGCTATTGAGGAATGATTGAAGTAGGTTATAATTCCAATATCGACCAATATGCTTCAGTGAAGTCTAAAATATAGTAAGCTTGTTTATTTCAACTCCTACTTTCTCCTAGCCAAATGATTGCTTTCAACTAAACTATTGACTTTCGTTATTATTTTTGATACATGAATCTCAATATTTTTATTAAAACTCAGTTAACACCTTTATCAACAATTTCTAGCTCTGACATATGATCCAAGGATTCATACAAGTATCTTAGCAAACATTTGGGAAATTGTTAACTCTAACCTCAGAAGCTAACAACGAGTTTTAAAATCTTGGCTCATTAACCAGAAGCTTATTAAGAAAAAATTAAACTAGTTATTTTGCCTACTCAAGATGTAATTCAAATTGATCAAAAATCTTCTTTATAATTTCCCAATTTCTCCTAGAGTCTAAAACTTATTAATTGATTAGTAGATGGTTTACTGTGCATTACATATGCCTGAAAGCATGAATTTATAAAGAAAGTGCTTTAATTGCCCAGCTCAAGTATTTTTATGCTGCAAAACCTGAGCTCTGACCATAAATAGTTGGCAAGAAGTAACACTGATGCAGGAGGTTTATAGAATTAATAACAGAAGCATATCAACCCTCTTGTTTTTAAATTTATTGTGAAATATGATAATAATGCATGAATTTAAGTTTAGTAAAACTCGGATTCTGAAAGCAGGCTATGCTTCATCATATATTTTGTAGAAGGGAATGATATGGTAGGAGACATATTTAGGCTCTTTGAAGGAAAATAGTATCAGAGTAACGTTATAAAGCCGGAGTTGTATAAAATTTTATTGATGTATAATGGTAATTCAATCATGCAGTTGTTCTCAGGGGTTTTGGGGTTTTGGGGTTTTGGGGTTTTGGGG